CTACTGTCAGTAGTTTTATCACCAGACAAAAAACCTCAAATGAAAAAAATTTGAGGAGGGGGGTCGAAGTAATTTTTAGGGGCTGCTTTACCCTTTAAGTGAAAAACTGCATCTGTATTTGATACTAATTACATAAATTTTGTATCCAGGTATTAATTGGGGGCGGCGAAACCTACACGGGCCGGGGGTTGCCCCACTCTGCCTAGTCATAAGCCACAATTTTAAAATTAATGCAGTGCCTTTGTACTCATTGTATAATGAATTTTATTGTAAAAGATAATCTGTTTACATTCCCAAAGTTAAAAAGAGAAACTTTTTTTTTTGTCCCCCTGCTTCGGTGGGATAGACCGTTTGTTGTAAGAAAGAAAAAAACTTTTTTAACTGCAGAGTAAATTTTTAATAGTGATAACAATTTGCTTGCAGAGAAGAGCCAGCCCAAAAGGGGTTTTGTGTTGTACTGTGTCTGCCTTTGCGTATGGTTGGGGCTTTTTCATGAGGTTTACACTAAGACTTGTTTTGTACAAAGGTGAGTATTTTTCTGTTTGTTTTTACTCAAAAAAAGGAGTGTGTGCCCTTTTTTTTAGATTCACTTGTTGCCCCCTCCTATCACGTAAAAAAATTGCAACTGTTTTTAGGGTACTGGAGATTGCTAGCATGTAAAATTTTTACGACTTCCCATTTCCCTTTATGAAAGTTTTTTTACATATTAACCAAATTGTAGTATGTGTAATGGTTTTACAAGAATAGGATTTAGATGAATGCATTTGTATTCAGAATACAGAAAATTTTTCACAAAAATTAGCAAAAAGCCTGGGTGGGGGGGGGGATTGTGGAAATCTTTACTTTCGCAAAAAAGTCCCGATGCACTGAGAAGTGTGGGAAAATACTTTAAGTGGCATGTTGGCAGGTGGGTTTTGAAGGATGAGAAGAACACCATAGAATGATGAAGAAAAAAAATGGGTGGTGTGGTGAGGATTTTGGGAAAAAAAAGTTTATTTGTGGAGGGAAAGAAAAAAGGAATGTACCATATAATAAAGGGACCTAACTTCGGTAATGCATGGGGGTTTTTTAAAAATTTAACGAGAAGGAAGTAGAGGCAATGGAGATTCATGTTAGAGGAAATAAGTAGTTTGAATTCATGCAGAGGATTTGGGGTGTGAAAAATTAAAAAGGGAAAAGTGGGGGTCACCCAGGGTTAATTCAAGAGGGGTTTAGGGTTGCCTAGGTGGTTTGGATATGTAGAGAAGAGGAGGAGAGGGGATGAGATAGGCGCAAAAGGGTATTAAATGTGGATGGAAGCGAAATGGTAGGGGGGCATACAAGGAATGGTTGGAAGAGGGAAAAAGGACTTTGGGTTTTGGGGCTTGGCATCCACAGGGTTGTGTGATTGTTTTAAAAAGGGGGGTTTAATCGGACGAGCATGTTTTGTAGTCTGCTGTTGGAGTATGAACGAGATTACTTTTATGAAAGGATTTAGAAAAAGCAGTTAGTGGACTTTAGTCCTGGAGATGGGAAGGGCAGTGCTTTCATTGGGGGGGGGTGGGGATGTTTAGTCAAAGGTTTAAACTGAATTTTTTTTATGTCAGTACAGTTTGGAAAAAGGGATTGAAAAATGATGATGAATTCGTTTTTTTTGGGTTACCCCCTTTGTGGAACACAGGTTTAGGACAAAAAAAAAACACAAAACTAGAGGCAATTAGGTTTTCCTTACACCTAATTCCTTCCAAAACCCCAAATGAAAAAAAAAAATTTAGGTTAGGCCCCTTTGACCTTTTAAAATCCTTGCATAAAATACTTTCCTGAATTGCAATAATGTGACGGGATAAATTTCTTGGGATGACCCTAACACTTAATCCTGAATGTTGATGATGCTATCATAAATTTTTAGTTCATTTGGATTTTTTTTTTGTGGGTTGGGCACCCTTTATTTTTTTTGTACTGAAATTCTAGCTGGATCATGAAACCTGTGTATCACCTGGCATCCCAGAAGCATTTTGGTGCAAGGAAAATGGCTCGTTGATAGAATTTTCATAAAAATGTTCTGCCACAAGTCATTACGAAGTTGTTAGGCTGAACCTCTGCAGTGACTGTAGAGTTGGTCTATCATTAATTTTTAATTTTTGGCACTCAGCTCTTATCATTTTTGAGATATCGCCGTTGGGATAGTGATTCCCAGAACTATTAAGATATGAATCAGGTTTTTATATAACACTTAATTCATCAGGATTAATAAATTACATACAATGATTTCTGGCTGCCAGATGACAACTGTTTGTATATTGAATTATCAGTATAATTAATCTGCTATATATTCATGAAATAAATTTTTTTTTTTTTTTCTCTCTCAACAAGTCGGCCATCTCCCACCGAGGCAGGGTGACCCAAAAAAGAAAGAAAATCCCCAAAAAGAAAATGCTTTCATCATCATTCAACACTTTCACCACACTCACACATAATCACTGTTTTTGCAGAGGTGCTCAGAATACAACAGTTTAGAAGCATACACATATAAAGATACACAACATATCCCTCCAAACTGCCAATATCCCAAACTCCTCCTTTAAAGTGCAGGCATTGTACTTCCCATTTCCAGGACTCAAGTCCGACTATATGAAAATAACCGGTTTCCCTGAATCCCTTCACTAAATATTACCCTGCTCACACTCCAACAGATCATCAGGTCCCAAGTACCATTCGTCTCCATTCACTCCTATCTAACACGCTCACACACGCTTGCTGGAAGTCCAAGCCCCTTGCCCACAAAACCTCCTTTACCCCCTCTCTCCAACCCTTTCGAGGACGACCCCTACCTCGCCTTCCTTCCCCTATAGATTTATATGCTTTCCATGTCATTCTACTTTGATCCATTCTCTCTAAATGACCAAACCACCTCAACAACCCCTCTTCTGCCCTCTGACTAATACTTTTATTAACTCCACACCTTTTCCTAATTTCCACACTCCGAATTTTCTGCATAATATTTACACCACACATTGCCCTTAGACAGGACATCTCCACTGCCTCCAACCGTCTCCTCGCTGCTGCATTTACCACCCAAGCTTCACACCCATATAAGTGTTGGTACTACTATACTTTCATACATTCCCTTCTTTGCCTCCATAGATAATGTTTTTTGAATCCACATATACCTCAATGCACCACTCACCTTTTTTCCCTCATCAATTCTATGATTAACCTTATCCTTCATAAATCCATCCGCCGACACGTCAACTCCCAAGTATCTGAAAACATTCACTTCTTCCATACTCCTCCTCCCCAATTTGATATCCAATTTTTCATCTAAATCATTTGATACCCTCATCACCTTACTCTTTTCTATGTTCACTTTCAACTTTCTACCTTTACACACATTCCCAAACTCATCCACTAACCTTTGCAATTTTTCTTTAGAATCTCCCATAAGCACAGTATCATCAGCAAAAAGTAACTGTGTTAATTCCCATTTTGAATTTGATTCCCCATAATTTAATCCCACCCCTCTCCCGAACACCCTAGCATTTACTTCTTTTACAACCCCATCTATAAATATATTAAACAACCATGGTGACATTACGCATTCCCTGTCTAAGACCTACTTTTACCGGGAAGTAGTCTCCCTCTCTTCTAACACACCCTAACCTGAGCCTCACTATCCTCATAAAAACTCTTTACAGCATTTAGTAACTTACCACCTATTCCAT